ACATCACACAGAAGATGAGGTGTGAAGATGTGAAGACTGAATTTAGGTATGTCTAATTCTAGAGACCCTGCTCTCTATCTTCATTTTTAGTCATTTAATACAATTAAAGTTATATTTCACACAGCTAAATGTAGTCCTATACCACCTAAAGAGCCAAGCTCTTCCTTACATACCATTGAATATACACTGACCAGCCCAGAATACAAACAAACAAAGATCTGTCCTTTGCTCTACCCTTAGCTCTAGACAGAATCAGTGACCCAGATCTATTACTAGTCCTGCAAATGCATACCTTATGAATCAGAAATAAGGAGATTATTAAATATCAAATCTTTGCCCCTAAAAGAACACAATGAACAACAGTTGGAAAAGTTTGTCAAAAGGGAGAAGGCAACAGATATGTGGAATCTCTTAAGAAAATTCAAACAGCGAACTTTCAGTACGGGAATCATGACAAATATGCATTTTAAAAGAAGCACATCTTTAAAATTTCTCTTACCATTATCTGAAGTGGATTTCCTACTAGAGCATGTTGTTGGACTGACCCTATTAGAGGCTAATAAGAGCCTAAATAAAATTCCATTGAGTATTATTGAAAAAGGATTAAAAAAATTTTAAACTAGGACATGCTTCCCCCACTCACTCCCAAAGCTAAAGAAATCCTGTCCCACACAAAGCTTCAAGATAAAAAGGAACTTGAGTCTCCGGGGCATTCAGTTTGTTGCCTTAATGGAAGCTGAGTAGAGGTCACTCATTCATTTACTTTAAAAGGTTTTGGTAACGGTGAATGAAGTCAAGATTAACCGTTGGTCTAGGATCATTATTGGAAACATAAACCACCTAACTGTCCCTATTAGAAACAGGTTGATTTAACGTAAAAAAAGAGATTAGTCAGAAAATAAAACTGCTAAAAGATAGGCACTTAGCATAAGCAAGAGAGTAAAAGAAAAAAAAAAAGGTTATCTTTAAAAAAATCTAAAGTTATTTTTCTCTGAAATATCTATAAATTTTATCTCACATATTAATGTGTATTAAGAGTGAGCTATCTACAGTAAGTAGGAATGCAAAAAATTCTATTTTTTTAAGGACAGTAAACAAAAATATTAAAGGAAAACACTGCTGAATGGGAGAAAAACCAGACTAGAAGTTTCTTAGTGTCCCTAGAACTAAGAGTCTCATAAAGAAACAGACAAGTTCTTGTGGGAAGACAAGATATTTTTGGTTTTATGACATGATTTTATTTGTAGAATGAACTGATTTTTGATGTTGCAGAGAATAACAGAGAGCTTTCTTGTTTCTTCTTTTATCCTAATGTGTTATGTGAATCGACCTAGAAGACTATAACTCATAAAGTCTTAGAAGACTATAACTTATAAAGTCTTTATAAGGAAGTAATGTAGATTGAGTTGTCAATCCAATTACAATCAGGCAATTGCAGAGTTAAGTCTGCTTTTTAAAGAGAGAAAAACAGTTCATAAAAATTGACCCTAAGTGATTGAATAAAATGGGTGAATTTGCTAATTCTTATGGCATTTTCTCTTTGAATAAATAACTACAGAGTAAAAACTACTACCACTCTTTTCATCTGGAAAGAAGAGACAGAAATAACAGGCCAAGAGAAATGTTAATAACCTGGGACATTTCAATATGTGAATGTTTGTGCATACACAGACAAGTATAAACATGTTCATACATTTTTTAATTGAATGACATATACTTCAAATGGAATAAAAATGTCTAAATTAACCTCTCCTTTAAAGAGATCTCAGTAAAATGAAGAAATGCTGGGGAACATCATCCTCATATCAGTTAACATAGCCATCAAGGGTGAAAATTTGTCCTGCTCTTCTATCCTGTCAATCTAATCCATCTAGCAGATCTGCCTACCTATCTAATGTACTGCATGCCTTTACCAACATTTGGGCCAAGTTAATGTCTTGTATATTTATAATTGCAACCGAAAGCTTAAAGGTGGCCTTAATTGTGGTCTAACATTTCAGTCCACTATTCTACCAACAAAGGAACTGGAATGCATTGTTTTCTAAAGCCCAAAGCAACAATGGCATAACACGTAAGAAAATGCAATCAGGATGAACAATGTAAGTAGGTATGTTTATTTCTATAAGGTCTTAGTCTCCATATAGAAGAAAAAAGAAGTAGATCAAATTCAAAATATACTACCTAAGTACTTTCAGATATCAAGTAAATGTAATCTATTATAAATTCTTATGTAAACATTGATTATGTGAGCACTGACAAAAATAAATTTTGTAACAATATTGATGACTTTGATTTGCCTTCTACTATAGCAAGTTTGATTTTTACTCTTCTTCCTTGCTATATGCTGCTAAGGAAAGCGGGATGAGGGAAGAAGAAGAAAGGGAGAGAAAATATTCTGAAAGAGAAATATGGTAAGGATTTATACGAGCAAATAAAAGTATCTGTTCTACATTTTTAATCATCTATTTCTACACATGTCACTACAGAAGTCCTTCCCATAACTGTTTGAACAATCTCTCATTAGACTAAATATATTGTGACTTTCATAATTGTTAAGTATTTGTGAGATTTCCCCAAATCAATGATTTATAAAATATACTTTAGAACTATGCTTTTAGTTAATGAATATACTAGAAGCTGTGAAAATGAATTCCTTTCAGATCATCAGTCTTGCTCAGTACCTTTTTTTTGCCTGAAAGATTCCCTACTTCCAAGATTAAAAAAAATAATAGATTAATGGGTTTTGACTCTGTCAGTATCATTTATTTGTGCTAACACTAGAAAGAGGACAAATAAATAGATGCAGTATCTCAACATCTCTTAATGTTTTCCTAAAATTACTATTAGTATGACATTAATTCCTTTAGGGACTATTGGTGTTTTGTTTTTTTCTCACTCTGTGAACTAGTGGAGGCCAGCAACTTAACAGTTTGATCATAGAAATTTTAAGCTTTTAAAATTCTCATATTCAGCAAAATTTCTACGAGTAGTCAGAAAACTTTGCTTCTGATCTTAGTGCAACCTGTAAATGGTTGTGTAATCTTGGGCAAGCCATTAAACTTGGCTTTAGCTCTCTGGAATACAGTTTCCATAGTCATATCATTTCTAGGGCAGGTAAATGTTAAGGAACTTCATTTTAAAAATTCTCTGACTTATAAATTGTAGTGCTCCGTGCTCTGGTGCAAGGAATCTATCCATTTCAACACTGGGCCACTATGACTGAGCTTAAAATCCACATTTGAACGTAGTCGTCGTAACTGTGGCAGGACTCCAAAAGAACTACTGAAGGTGTTGGCTAAATTTATATGGTCAGGTGACATAGTTTATGAGCCTTCTACGTATTCATACTACTGGTTTAGATATTTTTTTGCAATTCTGTTTAACAAAGGACTATCTCAGTATTACAAAAATTACAAAAATTTAAAATCACCGGTGTGTCTTCAAATTACAGTGAAACCGAGTGACTTGCAAAGGGCCATACTGCTGATTATGGAATTGCTTATTGATAATGAGAAGTTGCCATAAGCATTTTGTTGTTTTAGATTTTCAATAATTAAAAACATATTAAATGTAGTTAACCTGGTATCATCAACTAAAACTATATTCAAAGACAGCATACTTAGACTGAACAGGAAGTCCAATGAACAGTTTTAAACCACTGAAAAACCACTTGCCAGATATGAACATATATAACATCACATTAGGATTTGCTGCTTGTCATTACAGTGAAGGAAAGCAAAAAATCCTGGCTGGATCATCTCACTGATGTTTCTCTGTCTCACCAACCTGTGACTAGCTCACTAAAATTTCAGGTGCCCCAAGAACGAGTAAACCCTGATTGCGCTATATAATCCAGGGAAATGAAGTGTACTTGACCCAGTTAGGTAAAATGGGCTAAACTTCGTTGGCAATGAAGTCTAAATGTGATTAAATACAAAAGTGAACTAATGCAGACGTGTTTGCTTCTGTCTCTTATGGTATTTAAACTTAATAAAATAAATATGCTGGATTCTCAAAATAGAACTTCAAAAGAATGATAAACTTCTTCTTAATAAAATATGTTGGCATCTCAAGATAGAAGTCCAAGATAATGATGAATTCCTCTTCTCTAACATATGCTTCTAAAGGGTAATGTTACATAGGGTTGTATTCATAGCTCTATGAATCAGATTCCCTTTCTTGCTAGTAATAGCAAGTATGTATTGAGGACCTACTGTGTGCCTTGATACTATGCTGAAATGCTCCACCCATAACTCCATTAAATCCTCATAAATTCTCTATGAAATAAGTGCTTTCAGAAAGGAAATTTTCAAAGGGAAACAATTTTGTCATAATTCATGCCGCTAGCAAGTGGTGAAGACTGGACATCTCTGACAACTTATTTTTTATTTTTGTTGGCAATATAGCTGCTTTCTTGTTCTTCATGGATGGCTCCTCACCATCACACGTTTCCATATAAGCAAAATATGCATAGAACATGTCTATATGCACATAGAGTCCTTGCTCTTGGTTCCTCCAGGCAACATGAAGGGTGAAATTCATCACCTTCCCTAACCTCAACCTCTATCGCGTGTGGCTCTTGAGCATACGGTAGAACATACTCTCTGCCACTGCTCTCTAACAAACTTGCCATACCTTTTTGCTTTGCCTCCCCTGCATGTCATTCATTAAGAACACTGATGGGCATGTTAAAGAATAGAGCAAATGAAATCTTTTTAACATATCTCTGCAATAATTTCCTTTCGGTAAAGGATGAAAATGACTGTCTGCTTGCTCAGAATGGAGCTTCCTGACATAGTAGGGCCTGTGATGGCCACCATTTGCAAGATTCTCATGGCACAGGAGGTAACACGGCATGAATTAAGCCAAAAATAATGTTTGTGTTGGAGGTCACTCCAGTAAGGTGGTCTAAAAATTAGAAACAGAATATATATATATATATATATATATATATATATATATATTTAATTGGAAGTATGTATGAAATTATGATTTCTGACCTGGATCTGTTGCTGAAGCAAATTGATTTTGTGTTGTTGCTGCAGGAGCTGCTGCTGCTGTCTTGCAATCTGTGGAGAAATTGCACATGAAAAATTTAAAAGTATATTGTTGTCCCAGGGGGAAATTACCAATGTTCTGTTTCTCAAAGTTTGATTTGACACTGATTAAGATGATGAAAATAGATGTGCCTGCGCCTCTACACGGTACCAGCAATTCACTCTTAAGTAAGATCAAACAAGGTATTTAGTCTTCTGGAACAGTTTCTTTTGGCCTAAAACAAATGAGGCCTAGGACACTATGACAGTGATCGAATCCACTATGAAATGGTAGAGTGTCAAAAATCCCTCTTCCTTCCAGGCAATACATTAAGAGCGTACTGCCTCTGGCATTTTTTAGCTCTTTTCTACAAAAGAAAGTATCGCGTCAACAGGGGGTTATTTTCACCTGGGAGTTCAGGGTAGCACAAAATATTGTGTTAGGAGAGGCTGTATGCCTTCGTGAGGTCTTGGTATTTGTTTTTGTTTTTTGGGTTGTTGTTTTTTCATAAATACTGCCCTCATTTCTACCTCCCACAAACCCCTAAACTGCTAAGTCCTCAATGCACTCCATTATGGTTTCTGCTCCCAGTCTTAAGGATTCTGCTCCCACTAAAAAGATTCCTCGTAAAAGTCACCGTTAACGTCATTTTTTAAACTCTAAAGTGTGTTTTGGACCTCGCCTTTTGGCCTTTCATCAAAATTCAACACTGAAGTTTTCTCCCTCGATCTGAACTTTCCTCCCTGACTTCTATGACATCACATTTCCCTGGTTTTGCTCCTGCCTCAGTCTGTTTCTTCATAGTTACCTTCAATCGCCCTGTCCAGCCTTTCAATGCCATAGTTGCATATGGCTCAATTTTAGACTCAATTCTTCCCCCCAGGTGCCAAGTGTTTACAACTTTGTTTCTCTAGACCACACCTTTGTGTTAAGCTTCAGACCCATTTTTCCAATGGCATTCCTAAGAATACTTCATATTCAACAAGTTCAAAACTAAACTCAGGATTTAGCCCTCCATGCAGTCATCTTTGAGTGTTTTCTAAGCCAGGGACTAGCACAATCACCTCCTGTTATTCACTCTTACAACACCTTATACATTTACTTAATACTACATAACAGACTATGATTTTATCTTTATCTTATTTTTGTTTTAATTAACATGTTACTGTCAACTAGGTCAAAATCCATAAATAGAGTGAGGTGAGGAATCGTGTATATTTTACTCACTGTGCAAAGCCTGGTACAGAAGGAATATTGATGAAGAAAGCATGAATGAATAGATGAGAAGAAAATTTTAAATACTTTATTACATGCTGTCAGGTAGGAAACCTTCTCATGAGAATGTAACTTCTAACTTCATAAAAAGTATCACTCTTTTATAAATAAGCTCTAATTCTTACTCTCATCATGTTATAATGAAGATTGTTTTCATTATAAATGTATGTCCCTTAATCTCTGTATCACAAAGCTAAAAATTCAGGAAAAATTTGACACCTGCAGGGTCCATTACTCTGAGTGAAAGTAAAGAAACTGTATGAGGAACATGGGTCTACCTGGCTGCACAATTAACTTTTTATTTCCCTTAACGGCACTGGTACAAATTATAGTTATTTTCGTGCTTTCATTTTATCTTAGGAACAGGGTTTTTAAAAATCAATTTTTTTTCCCCTGAAGAAAGCAGGAAATAAATGGTAGGAAAAGGAGTATCCCTCTTTTACTTAAATCTGGTCCTTTCCTCCCACATATCATTTCAGCTGAAGTTTAAATTTAAATCTTTCTTTCAGCACCTTATGAATTCATCAAGACATTGACCACTTCACACACTTTCTCCCATTCCAAGCCACTGCTTTCTCCTTCTGGATAATTATAATAGTCTCCTATTGCTCTTTCTGCTTCTGCCTTTGCTCCCTACAGCCTATTATGTATCAGTATCTGGAGAGATCCTTTTAAAATATAAGTTGTGTCATGTTATTTATCTTTTCAAAACCCTCTCACTCAGAGCAGAAGCCAGTGTCCATATGATGCCTGCAAGACCCTGTATGATTTGGCCTCTCTGGTTTCACCTTTTCCTGCTCTTCCCTTTGTACCCACCCCTCCCCTACTCTTGCAACACTGCTCTCCTGTCTCTTGAACACACCAAGGATGCTCTTATCTCCCATGGATATACCTGCCTCTGGGCCTTTGCACTTGCTTTCCCCTCCATCTGGAACCCTCTGTCCCTAGATAACTGCACTGCTAACTCCCTCATCTCCTGCAAGTCTCTGCTCAAATGTCACCCTGTCAGTGAGGTCTTCCCTGATCACCCATTTTAAAAGAGCTTCTCTACCCGGTACTCACATCCCTAATTCTCTCCTTTACTTATATCCCCTATCAACATTTACTATATATTACCTGTTTATTTACTATCTTTTCCTAATTAGAATTCAACACATTAGGAATTTTTGTCTGTTTTATTCCTTGCTGTATCCCAGTAACTAGAACAGAACCTGGCATCAAATTGGTGCTCAGTAGTTATTTGTTGAATGAAAGATGTGGAATGGCAGTGGCAGAGTCCAGTGGCAAAGCTGATCAGTAAACAGGTTCATTAGCATCTCTAAGGGCTGTAATGGGAACAGTAGAGTGTACAGAGTAGGGACACCCTACAATGAGTAGGGAGTTTGGAAAGGAGGGTCAGAAAAGGAGTTCTCAAGAGAAGATACACTTAACCTGAATCCTAAGGAGTAAGTATTAAATGTGTTTCAGAGATTTCCCTGTGTCCTAATGAAAAGATAAATGTGATCACAAGCTTGGTGGTTATGCATGCCAGCACTGCATGGTAGAGAAGATCTTGGGGAGCAAAACAGGCTCTAGAAATCTGACCTTAAGCTTTCACAGGGGATCTTCTCTCAGGCTATGCAGGCATCACTGCTTAGCATCTCTCCAACAGAGGAGAGAAATTCTGGAAGAACTTAATGATTTCTAACATTCCAAGGATAATGTCAGAAAAAGTAAAAAAAATTCTAGAATCTTTTGATGATGTGTGCAGATGGGCCAGAATGTGAAAGAAGAATGAAGAGGACTGTGCTCTCTATTAGTGATCGCTTGGATTTTTCAGGACAAATATGCCCTTAGATCCACCAAAGGAGGGATTCTCTAAAAAGAAATATCCCAGAAACAGTTTCAGAAGCTGTTAGAATTTTCTAGAATTCAGGTGTTTGAAAGTATTGAGAATTGTGAGCAAGAAAAGAGTAGTATTTTTCTAGACTGTCAGAGGCAAACATTCTGAACTTTTATCACAAGGGTAATGCAAGAGAAACATGGGCCATATTCAAGAACGGGCCAAATGTATCTTCAAGGAAACTGATGAGGCATTTCATTAAACACGAAAGCATTATCTTTCAAGCAGAGATGAATGACCAAGTAGGGAAGAGTAAACTGAAAGGAGTCTCCTCAAATGTAACCTGAATATTTCTTCTTTCAACTCTGCTAGTTTACATTTTGAAAACTGCTTATGGGGCACCTGGGTGGCAAAGTCAGTTGAGCGTCTGACTTCGGCTCAGGTCATGATCTCACAGTCCATGAGTTCGAGCCCTGTGTCGGGCTCTGTGCTGACAGCTCAGAGCCTGGAGCCTGTTTCAGATTCTGTGTCTCCCTCTCTCTCTGACCCTCCCCCGTTCATGCTCTGTCTCAAAACTAAATAAAATGTTAACATTTTTTTTTAATTAAAAAAAAGAAAACTGCTTAGGAAGGGTTTTGCAAGGATGTGTGAAAACACAAACACCCGTAGCTAAATAATGGTCTTCTTCCATTTAGGATGGTGAATGGACTGAGCCCAGAATAGGGGATGGCAAAGGAAGTTAGCCCCAGAAAAGATGTACCATCTCCATATGTAAACTCACCCTAAGACTCCCTTCTTTCTTTCCCAACACTACCAATTTTCTTTAGTGAAAGTTCTTGTGTATCGCCTCCATTTTCCTACTATACATGTGTCAATTCTTATGTCTCATTTCTACCACTAAAGCTCCATAGAAGCCACACTCATAAAAGGCCAACAGTGAGAAACTAAATGAAAAATCTAGTAGCTTTGTTTTTCTGGAATTGTTCATTTTCCTTTCTCTACCAGCTGTATGCCACTATCTCGCAAGGATCTACCCTTAGTTCCTTTCCATTTTCTCATGATGTCACCACTATTCTAATTTAGGGCTTACAAACCTGTCATCCCCTTCATGAAACACTCTGGCCCCAGATATTCATATGGCTGCCTCTTTTCTGTCAGGGAGATCTGAACTCAACTGCCAGATCCAACCACCCAATCTAAGAAACATTGCCTTGCCATAGCAATCAATATTTATTAAATTACTGTAATTACATTTCATCAAATTACATATCACTGTCTGAAATTATTTTGTTAATTTCTCTTTTTCTTCGTTAATCACTTTTCTCTTTCCACTAGAATTTAGCGGTTTTATCTTTCTGGTTAAGTGATGTAGCCTCAGAAGTTAGCACAGTGCCTAGCACATGAGAGACACTTGATTACTATCTGTTGAATAAATGAATGAAATTTATCTACTCCAGTGGTTTAAACTACCATCTCTATGTAAATAGTCTAAGAAATTTAGTTGAGCCCTGTTTTCCCAACTGTCAATTGGTATTTCTTACTGTTTTTCACATACCTCTAGTTGGAAAACCAACAGCTCTAATTCAACATGATAAAACCACCTGCTTTTCCGAATTGCCCTCTTCCTGACTTTACCTAGTAACCCCGGCTCAGTATCTTTCCTCATTCTTTTGCCCACTCAAAAAACTCAACTAATCATAAAATTTCCACCTGTTTATTCTTCCCTTCTCTTTTTTCTGTGTTCATTTAAGTTTAGGCTCTTACCTAGTTTAGATTCTCACTCCTTATTGAAGTTATTATAATAGCCTTCTAACTAAACTTCCTGTGCCATAACTAATTTTCTTCACATGTTGAATCCTACTTATCTGCAAAGCTCATACTAAACACCTGTTGAATGAAATCTTTCACAGCGTCCTTGACTAGAAATGTTCTCTTGACTCTCCATGATTCGATCTGGTACTTTTCGCATGACCTATCAGAATTTCACCTTGGTTACAATTACTTCTGTGTTATATAGCACGGAAGTAGCTGATTAAGCTTTTTCAGATCAAAGTTTTTTGTTTGTTTGCTTACTTTGTATTTTGCCTTTTTATTTATTCATGTGGGGTGGGAAGAAAGGCTTTTATTGGTCTTTGTGTGCCTAGGAGAGTGACCTATGAATAGCAGGCAAAACAATGCCTCAGGAATTTGTGTCTCAGGCTCTTACTCACCTGTTCTTGTTGCTGTTTGGCCAGCTCCATTTGCTGGCGCTGTTTCTCAATCTGAGATGCAGCCAGTTTCTTCTGCTCATCGTGGGCAGCCAATAGCTGCTCTCGCAGACTGGTCAGTTGATTGATCATACCCATGAGCTGCCTCTCTTTCTCAGCTAGGCTTTCAGGAGTCCCTGAAAATAACATAGCAATAAAATATACAAGAAAAGGGAAATGAGGAGAGAGTGATTTTTCAATGACAATGATTCTCTTGTATAAGAACTATTCTAAATGTAAGGTATATACCTACTATATACCTATATACACAAGGATATACCTACTTTGGATTTTTAACTAAACAGTGAAAAGTAATGGCTAATTCCCCTTTATAAAATATCAGAATGAACAAATATTTTGATTGTTTTTATGTATGATAAGTAATCATCCATAGCTTTTGATTTTACAAGTAAATCAAAAAATGTCTGGGTGAGCATCTACTATTCTAATGTCCTACGCTGGGATCTGACAGAAATAAAAAGAAGCCTAAAGCACAGCTCCCGGTCCTAAGCAGTTTTTTGTTTGTTTCTTTTGTTTTTTAATCAACTTAAAGAGGCAAGACAAAAACATGAACGTTTAAGAACCATACTTATTAAGAGATCAAGTTATTATTATCAGCAATACGATTCTCTTTTTCTCAAAAAAGAATCTTAAAGAGTTGGAACCAAGGAATTCTACATGAAAAAGGGGGAAGATATCTATTAGCCAATATAATTTTAGACAGTTTTCTCATCTGCCACTCAGAGACTTTCTTCAAAAATAGCATATCGTTAGCAGATAAAATATTCAAGATTGAGAATATAAATTTAGGCTATCATGAGGTAATGAAATATGGTGGGAAAACTAAGAGATCATAACATAGCCACCCAAGATTATAGTTAATTCAAGACTTGGAGAAGAAGTCACAGCAGTCATTTAAGAATAAATAACATGCTCTGGATATTTAAAACATGCAATGAATGTTCTTCGACAGGTTAAAATACTGATTTGATGCACCAGAAAAGTGAGCGGTTCACTGAAACAGGAACAGTATCACTTTTAGATGTTCTTTTCAAATTCACCAGATAGACAGGACCCCTATGGTAAAGTACTCACAGTAGGAGAGAACATACTTTTTAATTACAATTTTCACTTTAATATAAGACACTAAGCACTAGTTTAATAATGCATTTGCCACCTGTATATGTAATTAGATAGAAGGATCTGTCCTTCTCAGTCACCCTTCCCCATCCCACTGTATTTCTCTCTAACAATTTATGCTGAAGATGCCTGTGCCTTTTAGGAAATAGTAGCTATCATTAGTGGCTTATAATTTTCATGTGTCCATTTGGGATGGAAAAACTTTCTAATGTAATTTAGGGCTAGAGAATAAATATCTAGAAAAGAAATTATGAATGAACGAAGTCAAGAAGCATGCATTGCATTCCTTATGATTAATACCTAGCATTACTCAGGGCAGGTGCCCAATAAATTGTTGCTAATAATTTATTATACTTCAGATATTTGGGTTCTACTGAACAGCTGAACACTTATTCTAAGAATAACAATATAACTGTTGCAATTAGAATTCTAATAATAAATAATCTAAATATATACTGGGACTTTTTTTAAAGAAAATATTCAAGTGACGGTAAGATATACATCTTCACACGTCATCAGTAAAGAGAAATACATGGCTACCACATTTCTAGGAATACATACTAGGAAAAGTAATACATAGCAGGCCTTGGAATCCTCATTATCTGCAAAGATAATTTCACTTATAAAAATCTAGCCCAGGAAATTACAAGAAATTAAGTATTAAAAAGTGTTTTATATGAAATATTAGAAACAATCTCAATGTCAAATGGGAATAATCAAATAATTATGAACACCCAGATCATAGAGTATTTTGCATCCATGAATAAATTTGTTAGAGAATATTTAATGAGCTTTTTCATGATATAAAGCTAGGTCAGGGGCACTTGGGTGGCTCGGTCAGTTAAGCATCCAACTTCAGTTCAGGTCATGATCACAGTTAGTGGGTTCGAGCCCTGTGTCGGGCTCTGTGCTGATAGCTCAGAGACTGGAGCCTGCTTTGGATTCTGTGTCTCCCTCTCTCTCTGTCCCTCCCCACCCCCCTCAAAAATAAAAATAAACATTAAAATAATTTTTAAACTAGGTCAAAAAACTGGGTAACAATAAAACATATGTGAAAAGGCAACCTACTCAATGGGAGAAAATTATGTATCTGATAGAAGGTTATATATCCAAAATAAATAAAGAACTCATACAACTCAACAGCAAACAAAACACTTAACTAAAATCCAATCCAATTAAAAATGGGCAGAGAATATAAACATTTTTCCAAAGAAGACATAGGGAAGGTCAACAGGTACACGAAAAGATGCTCAGCATCACTAATCATCAGGGAAATGCAAATCAAAACTACAGTGAGAGATCATCTCACACCTGATAGAATGGCTGTTATTAAAAAGACAAGAAATAATAAGCGTTGGCAAGGATGTGGAAAAAAGGGGACTCTTGTGCACTGTTGGTGGTAGTGTAGACTGGTGTGACTATTATAGAAAATAGTATGAATGTTTCTCAAAAAATTAAAAGTAGAACTATCATATGATCCAGCAATTCCACTTCTGGGTATTTATGCAAAGAAAATTAACACACTGACTTGAAGAGATATATGAACCCTCACATTTATGGCAATGGTTTTTACAATAGCCATGATATAAAGACAGCCTATGTCCATTGGCAGGTGAGTGGATGAACACACACACACACACACACACACACACACACACACATACACACACACTGGAATATTATTAAGTGATAAAAAATGAATAAAATCTTGTCATTTGTGAAAATATGAATGGAGCTTAAGAGCATTATACTATGTGAACTAATTCAGACAGAGAAAGACAAACACCATATGATGTAACTTATATGTGGTACCTGAAATAAAAAGAGAAAAAAGAAACCAATCTCATAAATTTGGAAAACAGATTGGTAGTTGCTAGAGGCATGGGTATGGGGTGAGTGAAATAGGTGAAAGGGGTCAAAATGTACAAAGTTCCAGTTATAAAATAAATAAGTCATGGGGATGTCATGGTGACTATAGCTAATAATACTGTACTGCATATTTGAAAGTTGCTAAGAAAGTAAATCTTAAAAGTCTCATCACAAGCAAACACTTTGGAACTGTGTACAGTGATGGATGTTAACCATACGTACGGTGGTGGTTATTTTGCAATACACACAAATATTGCATCATTACGTTGTACACCTGAAACTAATAGAATATTGTATGTCAACTGTACCTCAATTAAAATAAAGAAAGAAAACATTGTATAAATATCTCAGTGTATGCACATATCTATATTTATAGAAAAAAAAGACTGGAAGAAAATTATATATTAATGGCTATTTCTAGGTGATGGAATTATAAGCCATTTTAATATTTTTATTTTTTAAGAAAATCTTCTACAATTTTATTATTATTTACATACTTAGAAAACATAGAAAAATGTATTTCATGTAAATATGTGGAGATATAACTTAAAAGTCTAAGGTGACATTACCCATTTTCATAAGTGGTGTAATACAATGGGTAAAGAAATATACTTGTTTGTTGATGAGTATAAACAAATATCATTTTGGCATTCAGTATATGAAATATTAACAAAACTCTTTCGTCTTCACTTTGTCAGATTCAATGCTTCTCAGATACACACTGTTTATTTTAAACTCTCTGAGTCTTACAATGGATACTGTCTCAGAGTCAATGAAATATTAAGATTTATGCCTACCCCGAGTTTGTCCTCAGGCCGTAGTAACTTACTTTTACGTGCAGAACAGGTATCTCTGAGTATAGATCTCAGGCGTTTTTTTGTTTTTTTTTTTTTAATGTTTATTTTATTTTTGAGAGAGAGAGAGAGAGAGAGAGCGTGCGCAGGGGTGAGACAGAGAGGGAGACACAAAATCTGAAGCAGGCTCTAGGCTCTGAGCTGTCAGCACATGAGCCCGAAACAGGGCTTGAACCCATGACCTGAGCCCAAGTCGGATGCCCAACCGACCCAGCTATCCAGGCACCCTTAGATCTCAGTTTTAAAATTCAATATGTATAAGGTGAGACTCCATTTTTAAAAAATTTTTAAAAGCATCATTACTCAACATTCTTAGCTAGAAATATTAACATCATCCTCAATTTGCTTCTCAACTACCCATCCTCCTGTATGTATTATATCAACAAATCATAATAATGTTTTCTCAAAATAGCCTGTTTCAGTTTTACTTTTAATTAGTTAAATGTTATTTCTTCAATATTATTATGTTCACATGACTAAATAATCAATAATTATAAAAGGGTATATAGTGAAAGGTCTCCTCTGAATACTGTTCCTTCTAAGGTAACCACAATTACTATTATTATCCTAGTCTTGTAAATGAAGATTTAACCATATACCAGAATATTTCTGCACTAATTTACCGGGGCTGTCATAACAGATGGGGTGGCTTGAACAGAAATTTGTATTTATTGGCTAGAAGTCCAGGACTAAGGTGTCAGCAGGGTTGGTTCCTTCTGAGGGCTGTGAGGGAAGGAGCTGCCCCAGATCTTTCTCTTTGGCTTGTAGATGGCCATCTTCTTCCTGTCATCACTTCTTCCATCATCACTCTCTCTGTACATTTCCATGTCCAAATTTCCTTTTCTTTTAAGGACAGCCATCATATTGGATTTAGGTCCACCCTAATGGCCCCATTTTAACTTAAATACTTCTGTACAGACCTTATCTCCAAGTACAGTCACATTCTGAGATACTAGAAGTTAGAGCTCTAACACATGAATTTTTAGAGGGACACAATTTGACCCACACAATTTACTTTACATAAAGGATACCACAGTGTAAATTGCTGCCCTATGGTATGTAGGAAGAGTTCTTGTTCCAGCCTCCCTTCCCCATCTCCACTGACATTTCTCATCAAGTTTTTTATAAATTGTTTTGACAAACTTTCAATAGAACTTCTTTTTTCCCGCTACAAGTTTATCCTCAAATCTGGTACCAAAATTACCTTCCTAGAAAAACAAATCTACTCATGTCACTCCTATTTAAACACTTCCACTAGTTCCCTATTGTCTTTG